CGTAAAATGAAACGATAGACGTTTTTATATCGTCATCCGATATATATCGTTATATCGAACAGCCCTAAATGTTATTTTTCCAGAGAACTGATTGGTCAGTATGCAGTAATTACCGTGTCCCACCTCCTTAACCTGGAGTTAAACCGGAAGTAAACATGCTTCATGTTACAGGCCCCAGAAAGTCCAAACCAAAGGCAAACTGTCTTCATTCAAAGCACTGAAATTAGGAAAATTGTGTATAACTGTGAGAATTAAGCAACAGTAGCAAATTATGTTTTTAAGTTTAAATGCAGGTTAATCTTAAGTCTTTGGAAATATCCAAATACTTTGAATCTGTGTCTCAGTTTAACCTTCAGAGACCCTGATGTAAATTCTGACTGCTCTCATCTCTAAAATCAGACGTTGTGACAGCTCGGAGAGGTTTGCCTTTGTGTGAGCAGCTCTAATCTTTCTCTAACGCTTCAGATGCTCCCGCCTGCACACACAGCGACCTCAGGATGTCCACCAGTGTTTGTGGATGGTCCTCAGTTTTTGAGCTTTGGCTTTGGCTGCGTTCATGTCTTCACTGTGATTTATCCTTCAGTCCTCTTTAGTCTTGTCGCCTACGTCCTCTGTCTCCTCACTGATCCCTTCTTTTCGTTTGTACTTGTATCTGTCTCTTTCTGACCTTTTAATGACATCCTCTCCTCTCTCCCTGTTGAGCTCTTATCCTCCTCCCTCGTCTGAGCTTTTGGTCTCTGACCTTCTCCTCATGTCCTCTGCTCTTCTTCCCTCTCTGACTCTTTTTTTCAAATTTCCACATTTCTTTTTTCTATTGAGGTCATTCCATAAAAAAATCAGCCACATCTTAAAAAAAGGGAACACATGACCACCCCCAAATCAGCCTTTTTTTCTTTTTTTCTTCTTTCCTTTGTCTTTTAATATGCAACACATTAAAAATTTGCCTTTAAATTGACTTTGAAAGATGATTGAAAAATTATTTTTTTCCTCCTTCATGTCTCCATTAGCTGCTCACCTAATCAACACCTTTCTTTCACCTTCTCTACAACATCTTTTTTCTTTCACTCAAATTCCCAGTTGTAACTCTAAAGGACTCCAAACGAGGTGGCTTTAAAATTTGGATGTTCTCAGTTTTACTCGAAGTATTTCCTCATGCCTCTTCTCGTCTTTATCTTAGAAATCTTTTCTTTCTCTCTTGATATGATTGATGGCTTTCTCAGAGCCATCAATAATAATCATAATACACATCTGGCGTCGTCCCAGAGCTCAGACGCACTCTGCAGCTGACACAGCGGGACAGCTGCTGTCACGCAAGTTATGACGTTAACTCGCAGACCGCAGCGGAGGCGGAAGAATCGGTGGAGGCAGTTTTTATTGAAATGTTTTTAACATTATAAGATGGACTTTTACATGCCTGGATACTTTCCAACAGACAGCCAGTGGCATAAAGACATGTTAATGACACAACGTGTGCCCCCTCTCCATTTTGAATTTTTATTTCTTACTAAAAAAAACACTCCTGCCTCACTTTTGAGCAGTGATGATGAAACATCCATCACTGCTTTCTGCTTTTTTAGTCTAAACATCACAGCAGTTCATAGTTTGATTCATACTCACCGTCGATGTCTCCTTAGATGACAGTAAGCGACCTCCGAAAGTGCCGACATTCGGCGACTTCCTGTCCCAGGGCAGGACCCAGGGGCCGAGGGGCGACCGGAGCAGAGGGAGGGGTCGAGGACAGAAGCAGAGCTACAGGTAAAACTTTTCTCACCATCCGCTGACAGATTCATTTATTTTACTTTTTAATGTAATTCTTCATCACAAAGCTGTTCTGCAGTGAAGAAACTGAAGTCTGAAACACTAAAATGACTTTTAAACTAGTTGTACTGTTGATACTTTCCAGAGACTGTCAGTGAATATTAATATTTTTTTAAGAAATGTTCCTCATTTTCCCTTTTAATAAACATTTTACCTCTTGTTGAGAATTGTGATGGTTTTCGGTGTATTTCTCACGCTAATGCGATGTCCACTGAAGCTTTTATTCTGAAACTTTTCACAGCATGCATGACAACCGCTGGGAGGGAGAGAAGGAAGAGGAGAAGGAGGAGAAGGAAAAGGAAAAGGAGGAGAAGGAAAAGGAAAAGGAGGACAAGACGAAGAAAGAAGAGAAGAGTAAAAAGAAAGATAAGGAAGAAGAGAAATCTAAACCTCCCACAGTACAGAAGGTAACGGGTTCATCTGGATTTCTATGAATAATAAAGTATCTGTCATGCTGAGCTTTACTTCAGAGAAATGGATCCTTTTTCTTTTTGTGAGGTGTGAATTTTTTTTAGTTTCTGAAATGGGACATGTGCCGGTGCCTTAAATGCTCCTGCCGCTTTAATCAAACATCCAAAATAAAGCATTTGTTGCAGGATTTAAAATAAATAAATAAATAAATGTTTGTTTCTTTGTTTCCATCTTTCCTTAGGTGGAGGAGAAGAATGGAGAAGGAGAGGATGATGATGAATGGGAGGATGCCAGTGACGATGGGGATTATGAGGTGGTGAGCGACTCGGAGCAAGACTCCAAAGGCGACGAGAAGAAGGACATCGGAAAGGAGAAGCAAGCAAAGAGCAAAGAGTCCTCCCCAAAAACTCCCAAACCTCGTTCTCGTCAGACATCAGCAGGAAGCCCCAAAGATCAGCGGACTCCCAGGCCAAAGGTCCACATCCCGCCCCCAGCGGCCGCTCAGGAGTCCCCCGAGGGAGGCAAACCCCTCAGCCCCTTCTCCCCGCTGGACGGCCACAAGCCTGTGTCAGACTGGGGGGAGGAGATGGAGTTGATGTCACCCAGGAGCAGCATGGGAGGCGAGAGCCCGCCGAAACCCTCCAGCGTTGATTCCAGCCCCCCACAGAAGAAGGAGGAGGAGGAGCAGCAGGAGGAAGAGATCAAGAGCCAAGCTGCCAGCTCCAGCGAACCTGCCGAGTCACAGAGCGAGGAGCACGCAGGTAGATAGTTACCCCACACTGAGACCATAACAGGGAATTATTGTAGCAATTTTCTGAAGCTGCTGCACATGTGCTACACCAGTGTTAACATCAAATAATATCCCAGGTGGCTTAAACTCAATAAATCTGATAAATAACGTGGATTTATCAGCTAATAATGCAATAACATTTTTTTGAAAACTATTTGTTAAAGTTAGCATTTGTGCAGAGCTATAAAGAGAAGAATCATTGATGCAATTTTACGTGTGTTAATGAGAAATCGCAGAGGAGCTGAAATGTAGGATGGAGAGCTGTGTTAGACCCTTAGCGGAGGAGAGAAACAGCACTCCAAGAATCCTGAATGTAAAGCTTACGGAGCGTTTTGCATGTCCAGAAGGAGGCCCGGGACATGCTGGAGAGATCACATCTCTCGGCTGGTTTAGGAACGCCTCGGTGTCTCCCTCTTCCTGGCCAGGACTTATATAGTCAACAGCCTCTGGTCGACTATATAAGCGGCAATGAAGCATTTTTACTGTGTTCACAGCAGAGCTGTTGAGACACTTCAGTTAATGCAAATATTAACTTAGCGAGCTTAAACTGGGAGCTTGTAAAGCTTCAAATGCTGCAGAAGCGATTGACATTGTCTTTATTTCTTTGCTTCGGGCTCTAATGTTGTTCTGAAGGCTGAACTTTTACTTTTGTGTCAAGTTGGTGAACATTTCTCCCAGTAAGTCTGCAGAAGTGTCTCAACATAGCACTTTGTGCCCATTTAAGCTCTCTGTTCTCCTACAGGAAGTCCTGCAGCATGTCTCCTTCCTGCACAGGGAGGATGCTGCTGCACCTGTGACCCGTAGTGCTCAGATTTCTCACAGACCTTTAGGGATGGTTACATAACTTTTTGTTATTTATGGAAAAAAAACGGCTCGTTAGAAATAATTTTAACATTAAGGAAGGTCACTTTCTGGTTTTAATCTGTTAAATGGACAGCCTTCAGATTTTCCCTTTGTTTCTGTCAAAGATTCAGTCAGTGAGGGGAAAATATTCACACCTCTCTCTTATTTTCTTACCTTGTCTCTTCTGATTTCTCTTTTTCTACCTCCGCCCCAACACCTCTCTGTTCTCTCCTTTTTGTTTCCTCCCCTCATCTTCACCTCTTCTCTCTATCCTCGGTGCTCAGCCGTTGATGTTTCGTCTCCTCCGGAAAAAGCTGAAATCCAGGAGATCCAGGAGATCCAGGTGATGGTGTCAGAACCTGATTCGGCTCCTAAAGACTCACCTACTGCACTGCCATCTGACCCCGCCCCCTGTGAGGTGAAGGTGGACGAGGATACGCCTCCAGCCCCGTCACAAGGTAATAAAAAAAATTAACCCCTCAACATAAAACGCACCAGGCTGTTTTCATCCACTGCACCCTGAACTTTTCTAGGACTCGCCCAACAGGCGTGTGCGAGAGTGTAATATCTGGACGCTGTATTAGGGCGTTAGCTGTCCTACATGTTCTGTCCACGCAGCTGCTTCACCAAAACTACACAGAGCTTTTCCGATGGTGTAAACACATGTGAGAAATGACGGCTATGGAAAATATTCCAACCTGATTCTCCTGAAAATGTTTAAAACTCACATGTGGAAATTGTCTGCAGCCACGTTTGTGACGCTTGTATCTTATTGACATTTATCAGTGTGCAGAAAACTCAAAGAACATCTGACCCTGAGGCGCTACAAGAGTATTTGGAGATTTTCAGCTAATAATTTTTTTTTTTACTTAAAGCTACAGTCGCACTAAGCCAACAGTGGTTGAGGACATTACCATGAGCTAAATGTCAGCCGTGTCCAACGAGCTTGTGATGTTGTTGCTTTTGAAATCGTTGCTTCGAAGATGGCGACCAGGTCTGCGAGTGCTCGTGGTCAGTTGCATCAGCACGATGATAAGGCGGTCTGCCATCATTCAGCTCAGCTTGCCAGGAAATTGGGTAAAATCTGTAATTACACGCAGTCCTTTTGTCATTAATGCAGCAAGTAACTGGTTAATTTTGCTGCAAAACTCAGGAACACTCCGGAAACTTGCTGTGATATTCAATATAACCTGAAAACAACCAGCTGGCAGAAAGTTGAGTCCTCTGTTGCAGATGAGCCCAGACTGATTCAGGGGAGTTTGCAAACCTTCACCGGTCTGTATGAGAGTGACTGCAGCTGTCTGCAGACGGGTTCCTCCTGCCAGCCGACCCGTGCAGTCACCTTTTGATTGAAGCTGGTCACCCAGAGGTTGAGGATGCAACATCAGTGGATCAACCAGGCTACAGTTTTTTCCAGGCACATAAAAGTTGCAGTCTTATGTTTATTCTAGTGTGACTGAGACAAAAACAAAGACGTGCACAAATTAAAATGACTGGTTATTTCTGCTGCTTTAATTGATCCTAAATGAAGAACCAGAACATTAGAACATTTATTATGGTTTGTTTTTTCATTAATCTTTCATTAGTATTCAGCTTTGTGGATTTTCTCATTTAAATTCAGATTTTGTTGTTTCAAAATGTTTTTGAGGTTTATTTTTTTATAAGTTTATAGGATAATACAGAGCAACTGGAAAGACGAAGTCAATTATTAATAGTTCAGTCTTAATAAATATCAAATAAACATCCTTCACATGCTGGGTGTATTGGTTTATTTTATTTAGTTAACACAACATATAATTTCAGTCATTTTTACATGTTTTCTCTAAAGCTTAGTTTATTATATTTAACTAAAAAGTACTTTCTTTAGAGAGTAGAAACATTACACGCTGACAGTCCTGTGGTATAGTGAGGATCAGCAAACTAGCAGCAGCTCTAATCCTCCTGATGCAGCTGGATTAATCCAGGTGCTTCTAATCTCCCGCTTGAACTAACTCAGCGCCGCTTTGCAGTTCAGCTCATTTTGAGCTAAATTTTAACTGATGTTAATCTCGATTCAAGTAACGCCTCCAAAACCTGCAGAATTTTTGGCTTCTCACCCAACAACAGCTGATTAGATGCAAGCTGGGTCCTGCAGTTTATTTATCGCTAATTGATGAGACTCCACATGCTGTAAGGATTTAAAGGCTGAGTCGAGAGCACTACAGGGCAGGATTTTTACTTCATC